CAACCTTGAATTTCTCGAGCCTGCTACGGTCTTCTTCAAAAAGCACGATTCGCACCCTAGTCTACATCGTAATGCCGCTTGAACATAGGCACCAAGTCTTCCTGCCGAGTGTTAGCACGGTGTGTTGACATGCGAGCCCATCTGAACGAATCTACCTGTTGTACAGTTGTACCTAGTAAGGCTTGAGAGTCAAATGAATCACCAAACCATGTCTATGCAGGCGCGTCGCAACAAATAGAAGTTCTCAGAACCGCAAGCCCTTGATGGAGGAGAATTTGAATCTCACCAATTTGCCGGAGGCAACCAACCCTATAAACCCTGCAAAGGGTTGTGAACGATTTAGTAACTTGGATCTAACAACCAACGCTATACCCTAAACCGAATAACCCCTAAACCCGATCCCTGGTCCCTAAACCCCCTGTCCCTGAACCCTTAACCCTAAGACCCTAAAGCCCTAAAGCCCTAGAGCCCTAGACCAAACCCTACACCCTATCCCTATAGACCCTACCTATAGTATCCATTGTAATTCCTTTGTTTGGTTAAACCAGTCTTACATTTAGGATCCTAAAAGGTAGCCCCCAAAAAAGGAACTACAATGGAGACTATAGGTATACCTCCAAACCCCTCAACCCCTAACCCCTAAACCGTAACCCCTAAACCCTAAACCCCCTAACCCCCTAGATCCTCACGTCTCCTCTGCAGAGTAGAAGGAGCATGCCTTTTTCAGCCGCAGGAGCTCCCTCTTGCGGCGAACCTTTTTCAGACTTTGGGCAAGGCTTTGGGTTTCAGGGTTTAGGGTTTAGGGATCTGCAAAGACCCATCCTAGCACATGTAGGCGCTTGAGTAAGAGGGTTGGCCGTCACGCTGTCCTACAAATATCGGCGGGCCTACACCGGTTGCTAAACCAGGTTCCCAATACCCTAAACCCTAAACGATTGATGCCCCTCACCCTAAACCCTCAGACGACACTAAACTAAACCCTAAACCCTCAACCAGGTTCCCAATACCTGAACCCTAAACGGTTGATACCTTTCAGACGTCCTGACTGCGTTGCGGGTGCAGGCTTGAACTACAGCGACTCCGACTCCAACGCCAAGCCGACAGCCGAAATCAACCAAGGTTTCTACTACTCCCTAGCAACCCTCAACAGCCCCAAAACCCGAAACCACGAGACCCCGAAAACCCTATCCCAAAAAGACACCTGAGACGTAAACCTGCAAATCCACCTAAACCCTAAACCCCACAGTACTGTAAACCCCAAACCGTAAACCCTAGCCACTAAATCCTTCAAACCCAAAACCCCTTAACCCCTTAATGTAGGGGCCCTAATAATTAGAATATTAATTATTTTATTTTTTTTTTGGGGGGTGGGGATACTAAATCCCAAAATAGTAAAGGTAACTATTGAGGCCCCTATATTAACCCCAGAGAGCGCAAGTCTGGCCTCGTGATGCAGCAGTCGGAGAACGGCCTGTGAATCTTGGGACCCTAGAAAAGGTGGCTTTTTGCTAGGGATTGCAGGGCTATTTAGGGTTTAGGGTTTAGGGTTTATAAGGTTTAGGGTTTAGGGTTTAGGGTTTAGGGTTTATAAGGTTTAGGGTTTAGGGTTTAGGGTTTAGGGTTTAGGGTTGCAACAAGGTGGACGTTTTTGTAGCGTTTAGGACATACAAGGGCATGCTGCAGTTGATAGGGGCCTTTCTGGGTAATAGATGAAGGTAGTGGGCAATGTTGCTAGAAAGATTACGGTGGGACTGCTTACCTCATGCTGTTCTGCTGGCGGAAGTGTGGGAAACCATGGTGCCAACCATACACGCCTTCATGGCTACGCAAAGGATGGTGGTGACGAGAAAATGACAATCACACTGAAGACAGTTATGACATTGTCATTGTAGTTCCTTTTTGTGGTTTAACCAATTATATATTAAGGATCCATAAAGGTAACCCCCAAAAAAGGAAGTACAATGGAGACTCTAGGCATGAGTATGGTAATGGCAATGTTGGTGCCGATGGTTATGGCCATGACGATGACCGCGAGGCGATGACGCCGAGACACTGGTGATCACAATGGCGATGGTCATGGTGCGGCGGTTGCATTGCTGATTGAGGAAATGCCGAAACATCATCACAGCCATGTTCGCGATCATGTTTAGGGTCAGTATTTCCGCCGTCATCATCATCATAATCATCAGCAGCATCAGCATCGTCATCATCATCATCTTCGTCACCACCACCACCACCGCCACCACCACCACCACCATCACCATCATCATCAGCAACAACATCATCACCAACAAAAACATCAGCATCATAGTCATCACCATCACCATAAGCATAATCATCACAACCACCATCATTTCCATCACGGCGACCATCGCGGCGAGGCTATGACCATCAGTATAGGACAGGCACACAAGCTATGATGATGCCGATGGTGACGATGAGCGAGGAGGATGATGGCTTAAAACGGGCTGGCAACTCCTTCCAGGACTGTCTCCTTCGAGAATGCCCGTCAAGCTTGGATTTAAAACACTTCGTGGTTCATTGCGTGCAGGCTGACGTTGCACAACTGGCAGCAAAGTGGCGACAGTTGCCATCGCCACTCCACCCAGAAGCACGACGTGGATCAACTCCTGTCAACTGACCAGGGATACTTGCTGTCAAGCTTGACTTGCTTGGCATGTTATCATCAAAGTTGCTACCGGCACCTTCCATTGACACCCTCATCGCTGCTGGACAGAGTGAAAGGCCGAAGTAATTCATAGCTCAGGTAACGTCAACCTCCACTTATCGTCAAAAACAGCGAGTGTCGCCACACTGGACTGGGAAGCTGGATCTTGCGGCAAAGAAGCGAAGACTCATATAGGGGCCTTAATCATTAGAATAAGGTTTTGGGGCCCATTATACTATAGTTATAATTAGGA